AGATTTGCTTTGCTTAAAGGAACTGGTTGATATGCTAAAGAAAGAATTAATAAAAAACATAACCCTTTAAGTGTCAAGGCTGTTCTTAAAAGAGACAATATCACTATGGACAGGAAAGTAATTCCAACTTGATGTGGACAATTGCTATGGCACTTGACATGACTATCTTTTCAAATAGATTTCATCCCTTGAAGAATCTTATTATTTTACATGGATATTCCTAAATATGTATCCAGTATGGGAACAAGTGAAATCATCATGTTATGTTGAAGAAGAGGAGAATCAAAAAAAAATGTTGAAGTTTAGATAATATAGTCTCCTCAGTTAATGTGGATTAACTCAGTTAAACAATTACAGTGTCCATCAATGAAATATTCTAGAGAAAGAAAAATAAGGAACAGAATATTATCATAAATACTTTGAATATTAATCATTTATTATATGTTAAGTCACTTTAAGAATTTTGTTCATTGCCTCTAACTACAAACAAGTTTAGGGGCTGGTGAAAGGAAGCAGAGAGAAAAGTTTTTTCTGACAGATCAAAAGGAGCTTGGTTGGCTGAGTGCACTGGCTCACGCCTGTAATCCCAGCACTTTGGGAGGTCAAGGCGGATGGATCACTTGACCCAGGAAGTGGAGACCAGCCTGGGCAACGTGGTGAAACCCCATCTCTATAAAAATACAAAAATCAGTTGGGCCTGGTGACGTACGCCTGTGGTCCCAGTTACTCAGGCTGCTGAAGTAGGAGGATTACTCAAGCCTCAGAGGCAGAGGTTGCAGTGAGCTGAGATCACACCACTGCACCCTAGCCTGGGTGACAGAGCAAGACCTTGTCTCAAATAAATAAATAATAATAATAATAATAAAAAGGAGCTCAGTAACTCATCCACAGAGGGGCTTGAAGCAAAAGAGTGACTCAATTATTAAGATAGACACTATCCAGAAAAGGTTCTAGAGATCTGCTATACAACACAGTGTTTAAAGTTAATAATACTGCATTGTGAACTTCAAAATTTAAGAGGGCGGGTACCATGTTGTGTTCTTCCAAAAAACAGGGAAACTTTGGGAAGTGCTGACTATATCTAATACCTTGATTGCGGTGATGGTATCACAGGTATAACATGTATGTCCAAACTCATCAGATTGTACACATTAAATATGTATAGTTCTTTGTATATCATTTGAACCTCAATAGATCTGCTTTTTTTTAAAAGGTAGAAACTATCCAATCTGTTCACGAAACATAGAATTAGAAAGACATAGTTGGATTTTTAAGCCCTGGAAGCTTGTTGATGCCAAGTCCCCAAAGCCATACTAATTCTTATTGAGCAAACAGAAGGAAAAAGTGTCCTTCTTAACTTAAACCTTTCATAAGGGAACAGGGCACAACACACGACATTTTATCCTTCCCAAATGTGAGGAATACATCAGATTGTTTGACCCTAGCTTCAGTACTTAGACTAAGAAAGGCTGACCTTTTCAAACCAAAAAGCTGTGCTCAGCCCTTCTCTGTCACAGTATCATTAGTCTCTTGTGCCCACATATCCCCTAGACTTGTCCTCCTAAGTGATTTCCTTCTATCTAATACCTGCAGGTCCAGAGCCTGATGGTTCAGATAAACTATGTTTCAAGTCTTGGCAGCTATATTACTGCTTTGTTGAAAGATCAAGTAGTCTTTGAAAAATCCGAAGGACACAACATTATTACTAACACACATGTTTACAGTTTAGAGAGAACTACAAGACAAAACTCCTTGGCATTCACACAATAACCTTCCAAAACTGTACCCAAATTTTACTTCTTTGGAGTCATCATCCATTTCCCCATTTTCCCCTCTCCATCCACAAGCATATACTCAATATTTAGTTTTAGGGTTTTGTTTTGTTTTGTTTTTTTGAGACAGGGTCTCACTCTGTCACCCAGGCTGGAATACAGTGGTATGATCACAGTTCACTGCAGCCTCCATTTTCCAGGCTCAAGTGATCCTCCCACCTCAGCTTCCTGAGTATCTGGGACTACAGGTGCACACCACCACACACTGCTGATTTTTCTTTTTACTTTTAGGAGAGATGAAGTCTTGCTATGTTGCCCAGGCTGGTCTCAAACTCCTGAGCTCAAGCAATCCCCTTGCCTTGGCCTCCCAAAGCCCTGAGATTACAGGCACGAGCCACTGTGTCTCTTCAGCCTTCATTGCCTGCATGCCTGTGCACATGCAGCTCCCTCTGTCCTTTCTTACATTCTGTGATGGAAAACACAATCACCTTTCAGGACAGTTCAGCTTTTCAGTAAAACAGTTTCCAACAACTTTAGGGAAACTGTCACTTCCACTTCGGTGCTTTTATAGGTGTTTTTTCACACCTCTATTATAAAACCTATATATTATATTATAATTATGTGTTAAATTTCAAGGCATTGACTATGTCTCAATTATCCAATGATTAATATACACCCTGGCAGGTAGTAGGTATTCAATGCATTTTTTGAGTGAATGAATGAATGACCATTATCTAAACTGTTTATTTTTCTGTAAAACTAATTTAATAATGTGGTTGCCTTGGTATGACAATTTATTCTATAAATAAGTGTAAGAGGAGGAAGAACAAGAAAGTGATAATTGTATCACTCCTAGAAGGCTGTCAATTACATCAAATTTACCCAAAGAAGTGGGAGAAATCTCCATGTCAGAATATTAAGCATGGCTTTACAATTAACAATAAATAAATGTGTTTATAAAACCACTTGTGTATGCAGAAGTTTGAAACTGGATCCCTTACTTACACTATAAACAAAAATTAACTCAAGATAGATTAAAGACTTGAAACTATAAAAACCCTGGAAGACAACATAGGTAATACCATTCTAGGGATAGGAATGGGCAAAGATTTCATGACGAAAATGACAAAAGCAATGGCAACAAAAGCAAAAATTAACAAATGGGATCTAATTAAACTAAAGGCTTCTTCACAGCAAAAGAAACTATCAACAGAGTAAACAGACAACCTACAGAAAGGGAGAATAATTTTGCGCACTATGCACCTCACACAGTCCTAATATCCAGCATCTATAAAGAATTCAAACAAATTTACAAGAAACAGACAACCCCATTAAAAAATGGCCAAAGGACATGAACAGATGTTTTTCAAAGGAAGATATACATGTGGCCAAGAAGCATATGAAAAAAAAGCTCAACATTCTATAATAAAGACATATGCATGTGTATATTTATTGCAGCACTATTTGCAATAGCAAAGACATGGAATCAACCTAAATGCCCATCAGTGGTAGACTGGATAAAGAATATGTGGTGCATATATACCACGGGATACTAGGCAGCCATAAAAAAGAACAAGATGACATACTTTGCAGGAATATGGATGGAGCTAGAGGCCATTTTCCTTAGCGAACTAACATAGGAACAGAAAACCAAATATCTCATGATCTCACTTATAATTGGGAACTAAAAGATGAGAACAAAATGGACACAAAGAAGGGAACCACAGGCACTGGTGCTTACTGGAGGATGGAGAGTGGAAAGAGGGAGAGGATCAGGAAAAATAACTAATGGGCAGTAGGCTTAATACCTGAGTCATGATATAATTAGTACAACAAACCTCCACAATACGGGTTTACCATAAAACAGGCCTGTACATGTACCCCTGAAGTTAAAATAAAAGTTAAAAATAAAAATCCATTTGTGACTGGGTGTGGTGTCTCATGCCTGTAATTCCGGCACTTTGGGAGGCTGAGGTGAGAGGACTGCTTGAGCCCAGGACAGCCTGGGCAATTTAGCTAGACTCCGCTTCTACAAAAAATTTAAAAATTAGTTGTGTGTGGTGCTGCATACCTATAGTCCCAAATACTCAGGAGGCTGAGATGGGAGGACTGCTTGAGCCCAGAAAGTTGAGGCTGCCATGTCTGTGCCACTGCACCACTCCAGCCTGGGTGATAGAATGAGACCCTATCTCAAAGAAAAAAGAAAAACCATTTGTATTTCCAATTCTTCTTCTCAACAGAGTATTACAGAAAAATGACATACAAACATCACATGTAGACTTTGCATAAGAAGAGATCTTTAGAAAGATCAAGACAACAGATTTTAACAGTTAAAAGAGACCTCTTGGTTGTCTAGTTCAACTTTCTTCTATGTATGAATCTCTATAGTACATCTGATAAATCCTCATCTACTTTCTACTTGAAGATTTTCAGTGATGGAGAAATCATTATTTGAGAAGGTACTTGATTTCTTATTTTGACCATTATAATGTGCAAATTAAGCCCAGTGAACCCAGCACTTCCTTCTTAAACCACAGAAAATATTCCTTCTTCCTTATGGTAGCCCTATAAATAATTAAACACAGCTATAAAGTCTCCTGTCTTTTTTTCCTCAGACTTATGTAGTTTCATTCAATTATTTCTCATGTTATATTTTATGCAAAAATGGGGATAAGAACCTACTTTAGTACTTTAAATATTAACTTTAAAGGACTGCTGTGAAGATCTAGTGGGATAATATATGTAGTTAGGCATGCAGTTAGTGCTTATCAAATGTTATTATTACAGATTAAAATGCACAAATAAAATATAAAGTTAAATACATTTTAAAATAATTTCAACTTTGAAGCTTTTAAAGTTATTATGTGCTAAGATCATTTTCTCAAATTGTTTTTAGTACTTCCTTTAAGAAAAGGGCTATTTTTGTTTTTTTGAAAGATGACCAGAAGTGATGTGAATTGGTTGAAAATGGCTTGTAAAATAAGCATGACGTTTATGACGTATTATCATAAAAATTGTACCAACAGTACAGTTATAAAAAATATACTTATTTTTGGATTTTACTTTCAAGTAAGATAATAATTTTATCGTAAACCTTTGAAATCAGTTTTTTTACAGTATAAATTCAGATTCATCAATCCAGATAGGATTTTTCTAGGTGGTATAATTCTGTATTTGTTGAAAGTCTTTGCATAAGCCCCTTTTCAGGTCAAATGCTGTTTCCCTTTTGGTATCCAATTATCCGAAACTTAAGAAAAGTGTGCACCGCCCAATGGGTGTGCACATTGGGCTGCTCTGAACCTATAGTTGAGACCCAGTGTATTGGGAGTGACATCACCTGTAACAATAAAAGAGCCTCTCTTTGTAAGCAGAAGACCTATATATAAAAGTCACATCTAAGGGTCTGCAGTCCAGTTCGTCAGTTTTCTTTAGTTTACTCAACATCACTACTAACATACCTGAAAGATACCTGAAAGAAGATCTTGTTCTAAGACACTGCATGGTAAGTAATCTTAAAAATTCACTTCTGAATCTCAGGAGATTTTTGATAATCAAGTTACTTAATGAGTACCATTTCTACAAATGTCCATGCTGCTTCTTCAAGGTAAAATGCTGAGAGGATTGAGTTATGTTTAATATAAAATGCCACATACAAAATAAATTAATGCTACTAAAATACTCTCAAATCACAAAATACTTTGTGATTAAAGTCTCCTGAGATACCTTGCTTTTTAAAAATTTATCTGAAATTACAGCAAAAAATCATTAAAATTTGTCATGCTATGCTTTAATATAATATTATCAGTATCAAAATTTTGAAATAAAACAGGCTGATGGTGAATGAATAGTTCTCATTTAAATAATCACTATAAATATATTAAGTGGAGTTAATATTCTATTTTTCCTGCAGAATATTATTTGGATTATTTATTTTATGGCTCATAAAGAGCCTAATCTGTATACTAAAGTTGGATAAGCTCAGTTCGACTAGTGAATATTTATTCCCTTTACATAAATGACAGTTCTATTCTGAAAACTATATTTCTTTAATTTCATGAAATTGTATTACATGAATTTTAAGGGTGTTCTGCAACAATTTTTCAGCTTTTTATTTATGATATTCTTATAAGAAGCCCATTTCCCTAAGGAAGCAAAGCAGATATGCCTGAGGTCACTAGGTAAATGTGAAAAACCTAAGATTAGACTCCAGTGCTCCTGTGTCCTCTAGCTACTTATTTTTAACATAACCAAAAAATAAAATTTCCATCTGTTGCTCCATCAATAGCTTTATATTGTAAACAAAAATGTAGCAGATTATATTTCCTATGCTACTTCTAAATGATACAAATTCCCTGTAAAACAGGAGTACATAATTACTCTATGTGCATGTTAAAAGGCAGCATACTGAGCATTAAGGTAAAGCACTTCTATAATAACAGCTTTGCAAGTACCGAAATGCAGATCAAAACAAGAATATCCTATACTGATGTGAAACAAGGAAAGAGAAAAAAGTTATATTAAAAGATAATTTAATAAGTTGAAGAAATAAGATACAAACAAGGATTCCATTTAGAGATGAAGCTCGAAATCCACATCACAAGTAATTAATTAGATGATTTTTAAATACTTTGACACACAATTTTTAACGCTAGGAGAAATATGCATTAATTTAGTGAAAATCTCTAAATCAGCACCTATTAGTTTGGTATTTATGGTTATTATTACAATGCCTGAAATGAAGTTTACTTAAGAAAAGGATTTGCTAAGTAAATAAACAGTGTTAACAGTTTAGCCTATTAAGAAAATTAGCCATTTTCAAGCAAATTATAAGCACTGAGGAATAATCAACATAAAATGCAGTGCAGGGGAAAGTCTCAAAAATAGCTCTTTCATTCCTCTTGTGGCTTAAGATTTGTATAATAAAACTTGCACAAGAAATCTCCAAAAGATACTTAAGAGCATAAAACTAATTTCTAAGTCAAATTATGTGTAAATATATTAGGTATACTAATGTATCCATAAAATAAAGAGGTTGATTCCAAAAGGTTCTTGTGAAAACCAACCCAATTAGTTACCATTATATTACTATAGTTTGAAATATTTAAAATATTTTTAAATACCTCCATTTTGCTTTTCTTTTTAGTGAAGATGATACCTGCAAAAGACATGGCTAAAGTAATGATTGTCATGTTGGCAATTTGTTTTCTTACAAAATCGGATGGGAAATCTGTTAAGTAAGTACTGTTTTGCCTGGGAATTGGATTTTAATGTTGGCTTTATCATTTAGAAGTGGGGAGCTAAAGGGAAATGGCCCCCTCTGTTTCTCTTCTTCCCAGGAGGAGATCTGTGAGTGAAATACAGCTTATGCACAACCTGGCAAAACATCTGAACTCGATGGAGAGAGTAGAATGGCTGCGTAAGAAACTGCAGGATGTGCACAATTTTGTTGCCCTTGGAACTCCTCTAGTTCCCAGAGATGCTGGTTCTGAAAGGCCCAGAAGAAAGGAAGACAATGTCCTGGTTGAGAGCCATGAAAAAAGTCTTGGAGAGGCAGACAAAGCTGATGTGGATGTATTAACTAAAGCTAAATCCCAGTGAAAAGGAAAACAAATATGGCCAGAGTTCTGCTCTAGACAGTGTAGGGCAACAGTACTCCATGCTGCTAGTTTTTCAAAGCTCTATTAAGATTTCCAAGTGCCAATATTTCCGACACACCAAACAACATGTAATCCATCACTAGCCATGATAGCTGCAAATTAAATTGATTATTTTGCTTCTACTTTTATTCATTTAAGAGCTCTTTTAATATTTTCTATTGTTTATTCTTTTTGAAGTATGTTGTTGCATAATTTATAAAAGAATGAAATTGCACTTTTAAGCTTCTCTTCTACCTTAAAATGTAAAACAAAAATTTAATGATCATAAGTCTAAATAAATGAAGTATTTCTCACTCATTGCAAGTATCTTTTTGGTTATGACTTACACCCAGATGTTTACATTGACCATGAATAGTTAGAACAATACAAAGTATTTTTTTAATCATGTGTTTCACATTTGGATACTTTTAACATCATCCTTTTAGTTTACCAAAGTACTGGGTTCTGGGCTCCCAAATCTTCACTAGCTAAATACTGTTGTCCTCTTGATTTCAGGAAAAGAAATAAAATGCTCAGCAAAAAAGGGGGCAAAAGTGGTCTGAAACTTGCAAAAGTATTTGCCCCTGCATAAAAACCCACTAATCATAGTTCTAGTCTGGACTCAAAATTGCAAGGAATAGAAAGCTTATATCTATTAGAAGAAAATTTCACTCATTTATTTGTCATTTGACAAATATCTATTTAGTGTTTATTATTTGTCATGTACTGTCTTAGGCACTGGCATACAATGGCAAAGAAAACAGACACGGTTTCTGTCTTCATGCGGCCTACAATTTAATGGGGAAGACAGATAATATTAATACATCATTAAGTTCGACAAGTGCTATGTAAGCACAGCACAAAATATTGCAGAAATTTAAAACACGGAGCCCTAATGTATTTAGAGCAGTGCTGTCCAACAGAACTTTCTGTGATGATAGAAATGTTCTGTATTCTGTGCTGTTTGATACGGTAGCCACATAGCCATTTATGTAAAATGTGGGTAGTGTGACTGATGACTGATTTTTATTTTCTTATTCTTATTTTCAATCCCTTGGTCAATTTGAATGATTTTAAATTTTAAATTTAAATTAATTAAATGTATATAGCCACATATGGCTAGTGGCTACTATACTGAACAGCATAGATCAATCTCAAGATGATCCAGCTGAATAAGAAACATGAGTAAGAGTTAATCAGGTGAAAAGTAGAGTTTCTCAGGCAGGTAGTATAGCATATGCAAAGGTCCTTAATTGGGAGGGAAGACGGCTGTAATGTTAAAATCTGAGATTACAAAAATGAATAAGATTCCATCTCTGGCCTCAGAGTTCATGTTCTAATGAGAAAGACAGATAGGTAAGCAAGTAATTGCAATACGAATGCAAAATACTGTGAGATACAGAGGAGAGAGTAGATCTGCCTGATAGAACGAACAATTGAGATGAAATTTTAGTGGCAAATAAACTTTGCAAAATGTAGAATAGAAGAATATGAACACATTTCTTGCATTCTGATGGAATCAAACTGTAGTTTAAATGCAAAGAAAATCAATTCTAAACAGAAAGGGATGCATTACAGAATTATAGAGAATGCCGAAGGAAACAGAATCTAGGAAGGACTCAAAGTCCATGAGGGAGCGATTCTCTCTTCTAATAGCAGTAGCTGCCTTGACCATTATCCTGAGACTGCCCAGATCAGGAAGCAGCTGCTGTTCCAGAAACACACTACACCTCTATCATCCACCCCAGCAAAAACGGATGTCCAACACTATTAACATCTGTCAGTGCCTTGTCATTGTAACCTTTGCTAACACTATTACAGTAAAATCAAACTGGTCCACAACAATGCTTGCCAGCAGAAATGAAGAAGTGGCAGATCACCTTACTTCTGCCTTCCCAATCTCACAAGAATGCACCTGATTGGCTGAACCTTAGCCGCAGAGGTGTCTGGAAAATGTAGTTTTTAGCTTGCCAGCCTATGTAATAGAGGAATGCACACTAGAAGGCAGAGTGGACAGTGTCTCTGACTCCCTGGCAGAGAAATGCCACAGTGAGTATGCTTGAATATGTCCCCTTATGAAACTACACAAGAATTTCTTTGGGATCGTTACCCAGGAATAGAATCATAAGACATAAACAAATCTCACAAGCACAGTTTATACTCCTTCCGGTAGAGCTAAACATTCCTGTTTCCCTATTTCCACCTTCAGTTTGGAATGTTATACCTTTATAATAAGTTTTGCCATATTGATGTCAGGTGGTAGCTCATCGGTTTTATCTGTGTATCTCTGATTATTAGTGAGATTGACCTTATCTCTATATGTGGGTCATCTTGGTGTGAACTGCTTGTTTATATCCTTTGCTGTTTTTCTATTGCTTTTCTGGCCCTGTTGATTCTAAATTCTTTGTATATTCTAATTCAAATTGCTTGTTGGTTTTGTTTGTCTGTTTATGAGACAGAGCAGCCTCACTGTGTTACCCAGGCTAGAGTACAGTTGTGCAATCATGGCTCACTGCAGCCTCAAACTCCCAGGCTCAAGTGATTCTCCTATTCAAGTTCCCAAGTAGCTTGAAGTATAGGTGCACACCACTACGCCCAGCTAATTTTAAAATTTTTTGTAGAAATGGGGTCCAATATGTTGCTCAGCTGGTCTTGAACTCCTGGGCTCAAGTGATCCTCCTGCCTTTTCTTCCAAAAGTGCTGAGATTACAGGCCTGAGCCACCACACCTGGCCCCATGTTGGTTTTAAATGCCACAAATATTTTCTCCTAGTGTGTCATGTATTTTCTGACTCTTTCTATGCTTTACAAAAAAAAAAAAAAAAAAAAAACTTTAAAGGTCTTTTATTAGCATTAACTTAGCAACTTAATAATATATTAAAATAACTATTCTAAAAAAGAAAAACTTGAAACATCTCTCTGTAGTATTGTCTCAAAAACTACAACTTGGACAATTATCTGAAAATGTCAACTTTTCCAAAGAGTAAGCAATTACACTATGATATTTTGCTTTGAATCTTGAACCTGAATTAATAAGAACTAATAATAAAAATTGGCAAGTTAAATCAGGTGTTCAAAATAAGATTTAGTCAAAAGATACCTTTTAAATTTGTCAATGACTTAATAACCAGACTTAGTTATATGAGGGTGATGGATATACTCATCATCTTCATTGTAATGGTGGCTTCACAGGAATATACGTAGATCAACATTTACAAAGCCATACACTTCATGTTTGCAGTGGAAAACTTTTAGAATTACAGAAAGGATTTTTTAAAGTGGGGAGAGAAGGGAACCCACCCTAAATGCCACCACCAAAAATGACCACTGTTCACATTTTGATTACTAAGTTTTTGAATTTTCTAACACACTTCCACTCAGAGTACAATACGTAATTGACACATTAATTACAGCTGAGAGTCAACTAAAGCATTTACATGTTAAAACAAGGAGACCACCCACAACATTACCAACAGTATTTACTTCCTGCCATATAAAAGATTCCAGAGTTATTTTGAGATGCCACACAAAGCCCATTATCCAACATGGTAACTTTGGTTTCAAACTTTGCCTGTTCATTGACTGTAGCAAAAACAGACTTAGGTACTCTGGGTAAGAGAGAAGTAGGGGACAGGGATGTTGGGAGAGGCGCCATCACTTCTAAATGTTTGTATGCAGGGAGTCCAAACCTAAAACAGAGAAACTGACCTAGTTAAAACAGAATTGAGACAATTGGAGTCAATCCAAGATGGCCGATTAGGAGCAGCTCAGGATTGCAGCTCCCAGGGAAAGCGCAGAGGGTGAGTGGACACCGAATTTCCAGATGGATTTTTATTGCCCACAGACCAGGAGATTCCCAGGCGGAGGAAGCCCAAGGGTCATCAGCATGGCTGGTTTGGCTACGCAGCTGTTTTGGCCAGCGCAGCTCTTTGGCTGGCGCAGCTGTTTTTGCCAGCACCCCAGCGCGGTGGTTCTCTGTACAAAATACACTAGTCCGGGTGCCGTTTTAGCTGGTGATTGGAGCTCCTGGGAGACAGAGGCACCCATGGATCTGATTAAAAAGGGGACATTGTCAATATTAGACAGATCAACAAGACAGAAAATTAACAAGGATATCCAGGACTTGAACTCAGATCTGGATCAAGCAAACCTAACAGACATTTACAGAACTCTCTACCCCAAATCCACAGAATATACATTCTTCTCAGCACCACATCACACCTACTCTAAAATTGAACACATAATAGAAAGTAAATCACTCTTCAGCAAATGCAAAAGTACGGAAATCATAACAGTCTCTCAGACCACAGTGCAATCAAGTTAGAACTCAGAATTCAAAAACTAACTCAGAACCTCAGAGCTTCATGGAAACTGAACAACTGGCTCTTGAATGTTGACTGGATAAACAATGAAATGAAGGCAGAAATAAAGATGTTCTTCAAAACCAATGAGAACGAAGACACAATGTACCAGAATCTCTGGGACACATTTAAAGCAATGTCTAGAGGAAAATATATAGCAATAAATGCCCACATGAGAAGCAAGGAAAGATCTAAAATCAACACCCTATGGTCAAAAAGGAAAGAGCTAGAGGAACAAGATCAAAAAACCTCAAAATCTAGCAGAAGACAAGAAATAACTATGATCAGAGCAGAACTGAAGGAGATAGAGACACAAAAAAACCCTTCAAAAAATCCATAAATCCAGGAGCTGGTTTTTCAAAAAGA